CCCCCCCCCCCCAAAAAAAACCAAAGGTCAAGGAGCCCAAGGTGGACACAGAGCTGGTCTACGCCTACGCCAAGACCAACGCACTCGGGGACCTCGACACCTTCATACACGGCACACACCAGGTGGGCGACGCGCGACCAGGGCCGCGGCCGCCCGTGCCGCGAGGGCCGCTTTTCCGTGTGTGTCCCTGCGAGCCTCTCGCTTTGGCACCATCAGATTGAAAGCAGGAGCCCTGGACGCTAACCCCAGCCCCACCCTCTTCTGCCTCCTCAAATGGCGCCGCCCCGCCGCCGCAGGCCAACCTGCAGTCTGTGGGCGACCGGCTGTTTGACGAGGGCCACTACGAGGCGGCGCGCGTGCTGTTCGCGTTCATACCCAACTGGGGCCGCCTGGCCAGCACGCTCGTGCGGCTGCACAGGTGGGACCCGGGGCCCTGCCCCTTGCGCTGAAGGCTGGGCTGCGGCCGCTTCGCGTCACATGGGGACGACTGCTGCCCTCGGTCCTCTCAGCTGTTCAAACCCTGCCATGTTCCCCACCTGCACACCCGTTCATGCCTCCGATCGGCCAGTTCTCTGTATATGAGCCTGGTAACATCCAGCTATTGCAATGGTACAAATACATTGTTTTTGTCCCCGCAGGTTCCAGGAGGCGGTTGACGCCGCGCGCAAGGCCAACAACCCCAAGACCTGGAAGGAGGTGTGCTTTGCGTGCGTGGAGGAGGGGGAGTTCAAGCTGGCGCAGCTGTGCGGCCTCAACATTATCGTCAACGCGGACGAGCTGGACGAGGTGGGGGGCAGATGGGGTTTTCTGTGTGAGGGGGGGTGGTGATGCTGGCTCTCAGGGTTGAGGCCCTGGTGTCGTGGGGGCCCGGGGTGCTGTCTATGGGGGCCTTTCGTCCTTACTGGCCCCCACCACCCAGCAACCCGGCAGCGCCACAAGCCATAAGCTCCCCACCACTTACATCGGTGCACCCGGCGCTTTTCCTGTGACCGACCCACCCACCCCTCTGCACCCCCCCCCCTTCCCAAGGTGTCTGAGTTCTACCAGCGCCGCGGCCACTTTGATGCGCTGATGGGCCTCATGGAGAGTGGCCTGGGGCTGGAGCGCGCCCACATGGGCATCTTCACGGAGCTCGGCATGCTGTACGCCAAGTTCAAGTGAGTTTTCGGGGTCAAGAGTCACGGGCGAGCCCCCAGGGTGGGGTCATGGGCGAGCCCCCAGGGTGGGGTCATGAGTTTTGGGGGTCATGAGTTATGGGAGAGCCCCACCCTGGGGGCGGCGGGGGGGGGGGCGAGTGTGGTCGGAGGGTCCTTGCAAAGGGAGAGCGCAGGTTTGTGAGGATTGGACTGCTTGGTCCGCGCCTGCTGCGGTGTCGTGGCCGGAGGGTGGTACGGCTCCTCGTGCGCACCGACCAAAATGGTCCCGTTGCTCATACATCGTGCGTGTGTTTGCATGTACGTGACACCCCCCCCCACACTCACACATGCACACACACGCACACACGAATACAATGATCAACTCATGCCGGCCCCTGTACCCCTTGCCCGCTCGCCCCCTCCCCCCCCCCCCAAAAAAAAGGCCTGAGAAGCTGATGGAGCACCTGAAGCTGTTTGCGAAGCGCCTCAACATCCCGCGCCTCATCCGCGTGTGCGAGGAGCAGCAGCACTGGAAGGAGCTCACCTTCCTCTACATACAGTGAGCGCACGGTGTTGGAGCCTCTGTTTTTGAGCCCGCGGGAGGGGTCTGCTGCTGCCGCACCCACCGGCTGCCAAGCCTCGACACGGCAGCCGCAGCCCCCTGGTTGCGAGCGGCTGAGCGGGGGCCGCACGTCCATGCCACCTGTCGGGTCTTCACACTATTTGGTGCCCGCCAGCGCCGGCGCGGCCACGCGCCCTCTTGTCCCCCGACCCATCATAGAGAAGCACCCACCGCACCCACACCAAATCCCACACCCCATCCCACACCCAACCCAACCTCACCTCGCCCCCCCCCCCCAAAGGTACGACGAGTACGACAACGCGGCTGCTGTGATGATCGGCCACTCCCCCGTGGCGTGGGAGCACGTGACGTTCAAGGACGTCATCGTGAAGGTCTCCAGCGCGGACGCTTACTACAAGGGCATGAGGTTCTACCTCGAGGTGGGCCGCGCTCTGTTGAAGAGGGGGGTGTTTTGTTGGGTGTGGGGATTTGTGG